TCATCCCTCACTTTGCGCAGAGGGGCAGAGAAGAGAAATTAAGGCGGTCGACTGACTGAACGCTGCCTGCCTTCAGGATGAGTCATCAAAGCTGCTCCGCGAGGCTAAATCTGCATGAGTTGAACCAAACAGCACATTTTATTTCTACCAAGCAAATCTGTTTACACTCTACTGCTTTTTTTTACATCTTGGCTCCGGTCACGTGCGCAAATTCTGTCAAAAATATTTGGCAATGCAAATGTTTTTTTGTTTTGCTTTTTGTCTTTTTGCACAGCAGTGTGTTGTGCCCAGACTCTCATTGGTTCACACAAAACAAATCCTTGCCACACTAAAATCTTTTTTTTTTCGGTTACGCTAAATGTTTGAGCATCATACCAAGCCAATGTCCTGATAAAAGATTCCAGCAACACAATCATCCCAAGTCAGAGCAGGAAGTACAAAGAGTGACAGGAGTTAAAATAACACATCCTATATGGAACATACAATTGTGTTTAGCTTGTTATTCAACGTATTATTAGCGTCCGCCGCCGAAGTTGATGACGTTTTTGCACGTGTCTTTGTGTGTTTGTCTGCCTGTAGAGTTGCCATGAACCAGTGGAATGATTATACATCCAGAAAATAATCACTGAGTGTGCATCTACAACTGATTTACTTTTGGAGTTAATCTAAATTAAGATGGTTGCCACAGCTAAGCAAAAAATAGCAAACACAAAAATAGCTGTACCTCAATCGGTTTCAATAATATTAAGATAAAATTTGGTGTCTGTTGCTTTCATAATTCATATTCTTAGCGCAGACTGATCATGCAAGACCTGCCTTTAAAACGTTGCCATTAATTATTACTCATTTCTGTAAGCATAAATTTTTATGAACTAGAGCAAGGATTTAATTTAAGCTCTCAGAAAGTAGTCATTGGATGTACACCAATGAGATACTGTACATCTCATTAATGTTTGCAGTCACTGACTTCAAGATGGTTGCCACAGCTTATAAACATTATCAAACACAAAAATGACTATAAGACTTTAAGTTTGACCAAAATGACAATGACCAACTCTCTTTCCATCCATCACGAAAAGATCTTGGTCCAAAACTCCAGTATGAAAAGCGGCGGTGATATGCAGTCCTTCAAAGAAGCTAAGCCTTAAATTTTTGTTTTTGTGTGTGCAAGGAGATGAAGATGAAATTAGTGTGCAGTGTTTAATAAGCAGAGGAACGGATCGTTGTAGGAGGAGTTTCATTGTTGTTCAACTCCAATAAACATTGGACATTTTTGAGGAAAAAACAGAACAAGAAATAATAGTAAAGATATTACAAATCTTTGACCTGAAATGTACGATGTCCTTCGTTTTCAGCTTAATATGTGACCCATCACATCGAAACGAGGATTAAGTCCAAAAGTTGTATGTGGAGAAATACGCAAATATAGTGTTTTGACTAAAATGTTAACAAAAATTGCATTTTGTCAAAATGTAATGAATAAATGCCTCATTAATGTTTCATTTGCATGAACTGTCTGAAATATAATCATAAAACAAAATTTTGAGACACTTTTTTGAGCAGTAGCAACAAAAAACCTGATTTTGAGGAAAAACGCCTTAAACTTTTTGAGATTTTTCCTGTGAGCTAGCAAAGTGTTGTTTCTTTCCAGCTGGGAAATCTCAATATTCAAATATAATTTGAGGTTTCCTCTTTATAAGGACATAAAATTAGGATTCAGACCAAATATTTATGTATTATTGTAACCAACAAGACAAATGAAGTCATATATATGGAGAATGATCCAGGTATCAAAATGTAGCTTTTAAATCCAAGAATCTGAAAATGTAATTTGGTCATTTTGACCAAATTTGACTTAATTCTCATTTCGATATGATGGGTCACATATGTGTTTGATAAATTGTTTTTCCTTGTTTCAAATGATGACCTGGTACGTTATGCGTATAACTACTGTTCCCTGAAGGAGAGAAACAAGGTACAACACATGAAGTGTGGGATATCACACCCCCACTGTCCTGGCTTGATGACACCTCTAACCACACCTTTGGGCAAATAACATGATAACAAGTGACAGGCCATGCCTTTGCTATATACCCATCATCACACTGTTCCTCAGCTGTGCAGCATATAGTCCTGCAGATGTAGTTTGAAGTTATAACCTTAGCAGCTTTGAGAGACACAGAGCTAACTAGCCGTAGCTATTTAGCCTGACTCAAGGAGGTGTTCTTAGCAAGATGAAAAGCATAAGAAGTGAGGAATGACAGTGATTATAGACAGATAGGCAGGGCTTGTCATTTGTCATCATCACATCATTTGTCTAAAGGTGTGAGGTGTTATTAGCCAGGGCACATGGGGAGTGATGTCCTACACTTCATGTGTTGTAACCAAGTCGACTGAAAGGGAACAAAATGTTCTCTCTTTTCTTTTTTATTGTTTTTGTTTTACAGTTACTGCTACTCTGTTCTCAAATAAAAACTTGCTCAAATTATTTCTTGTTTACAAAAAAAAAACATCTTGCTACCTTATTTACAATAACAGGGTTGAATATAGCTGCTGGCACAAGTCTGTTTTTGGCTCCTTTTTTAAATCACAAACACACCAGAGTGAATCCTCGCGCTGCCCAAAGTGCCAAGGCACATACTGAGACAAACATCTGTGTCTGTATGCCGCTCATCAGAAATGCACCTTGTGTGTTCCCTTTGTGCCTTTCCTGCATTCCCTTCATCCAGTGAGGCATCTAGATTCCCTCACAGCATCACAGTAGGCACAAAATGGTGTGCGTCGTCACGCATTTGACATGATTGATTGTATAAAGGGTCAATCCCTTCAATTAAACACTTAAAACTACCATGAGGGCTGTCAGAACACAAAAGGAACAATACACACACACACACATGGAGCAAAAGATGGAAGCAATGCTAAACATCAAAATAAATACTTCAGTAAAACAGCTGTACACTAAAGTAGCAAAAGTTAGCCACTATACCCTGCCTGCAACCTCCAAAAGCAGAGGAGATAACTTTGTCAAACCCAGCGCATTATTTCACTGACTAATCAGCTACATTGAAATTCAGAAGTGCATCAATATCAGGGAATAAATATTCAGTCCAACAGCGTAGCTCAAAGTTTAAATGCTTATGTGCCCAATGGCTTAACTAGTTACTGTTTCATGTATTTTATCCCTGCCTGCAACAAGACAAAAGTCAACACTACTCCAGGTTTCTCTAAACTATAGATGTAAAATGAGGATCTCAGCAACGCCTCATTTCATGAGAGTTATTATAAGATTATTATAAGGGGGGGCTTACCTCCAGTTTAACCCTTAAGGCTTAGTTTGCTCATACTGCATCCTTACTGAGCATGTGAAACGATAAAATTGTTAGAGATAAAGTAATGTGTTTTATTATAACCTTATATCTGAAAAATGTAAATTTAAAGCACAATGCAATGATTTGAAAATCTCATAAACCCTTATTTAACTCACAGTAAGCGAATCAATAGTAGACATAGAAAACATATGAAATTGCAATATCTAGGGGAAAAATAATTTGATTTTGATGGCAGGAACACATCTTAATAAAAAAAAAGCTAGATAAGCATTTTGCAACTAATTAAGTTAATTGGCAGTCTCTCAGAAGTAAAGATGGTCAGAGGTTTGTTTGCCAGGTTATGGAAAACAACAAAAGACAAAAACGACTTCAGAAAAAATTGGGTAGACTTTAAAAATCCCATCATCTACAGCTTATAATGTCATCAAAGACCGAAGAATCTGGAGAAGTCTAGATGTGCAAAGGTCAATAATGAAGACCCCCCAGGCAGCACTGCATCTGTTCTGGAAGTCTCTGCATGAGCTCAGGAGCACTTCCACAAATCATTTTCAGTTCGTTGTGCCACCCACAACTGCAGGTTAATCCTCCTGCTGCCCTGTTTAAAACTAAAGCCTTGGGGGGGTCATCTTGAATCAAGAGCAGGAGAAATAAAGCTCTATCATGCAACAATGAAGGCATTTGTGAACACCATCCAGAAACATCCCTGTCTTCTTTGGGCCAAAGGTCTTTTAAAAAGAACTGAGGCAAAGTGAAAAGATTTTCTGTGCTCAGATGAGTTATAATTTTAAGTGCTTTTCGGAAATCATGGATATCTTGTTCCCTGTACTGTAGCAGAGAGGGACCATCCAGCGCATAGTTCAAAAGCCTGCCTCTCTGATGGTATGGGGATGCATTGGTGCCTATAAGGGTTGGGCAATATCGGCAAAAAAAAGGAATCACGATTGTGGTATTTAGCCGATAACGATTAATTTGATGATTAATCCCGTGGAGTCCCTGGACACCCTCATGTCCTGGTCACATGACCAATTTAGTGGGAAAGATTTGCTCTTCGGAAAAATCTGTTCCAAATTGTGTCAAAATTACAGACTTCAGGCTATACTTCAAATTTTAAATTGTGTTGATAGATAAATAAATTAGAGTGTTTAATTAATGTTCATCATATCTGAAGCAGAGAGAAGCACTGAGTGGACTGACTGGAGGCTTTAATCGTATTAATCATCAAGTGCCAAAACATAATCGATTAATGTTTTTCTGACAATTAATTGCACACAATACGATTATGCTCAACCCTAGTGTCTATAGCATGGGCAGTTTGCACATCTGGAACGGCACCATCAATGCAAAAAAGTATATACAGGTTTTAGAAAAACATGTTCCCATTCAGAAAAAAAAAAGATAAATAAATAAATAAATAACAAGGAAGAACTCAATGCCAAAAGCATTGACTGGTATGCCTCCACCTGCCATAGACTCGACTGCATTTAAAGCACTGGGCATGCAGTTACCTGCTGACCTATATTTTTGGACTTGTTCTGAGAAGTATGTAACTAAACATGAATTCCTCTTTGATAATAACCATATCATTAAGTTCAGTGACCAACAACTCGTGTACCATGCAAAATAAGGGGATTCAATCAACAAAGATCACTTTACTTAACCTTTATATTTGACCTTTGACCCCAAAATGTTTTCAGACATCCGTTGGGCCAAGACCAAACGGTGCGCACAAGACTAATCAAAGAACAGTATACTTCCTCAGGAGGCATAAAAATGCATAAAAGCCCAGAACTGTTGAATAATAAGAACATCAGGAAACATTGTCTGGTCCCAACTGTTTAGAGATGTGTTGCTGTCATCAAACAGTCTTGTATGTTTACTGTACGTATGATGTTTGCAAATCATTGCACACTTTGTGAACATTTTACGAAATGTCCCAGCTTTTTTGGAATTGGGGTTATATTTGAAAATGGGTGGAACCTGCATGTTTTTTGTAGCTCAGTGGGTTAAAGGCTCAGCTTCTGCCATAAAACATTTTTCAACTATTTTCTTAGTCCAAAACTGAAACTCTAGCATAACGGGACAAAGCTAGTGTGCAAATGCAAACAGAAGAGAACACTGAGAAGAAGTGTACATCTCCGGCTAACAACACAGAAATGAAACTAATTATTTCTCAGATTTACAAGGAAGACTCAGGCTTTTATCCTCACTGTTTTTAATACTATGATTTCTGGATACTTCCTCTGCTGTGGCAGCCCAACCTCTGGCGCAGCTATCTGCTCAGCTTGCTGGAGCACTTGGCCTCCCGGCTGCAGCCCTTCCCCCTGGACAGGTGGAAGGGGCCTGTTCTCGCCTGGCGGCTGCAGCACGTCTCCTGGTGGTGGAGGTAGAATCGGCGAGGAGGCGGCGAGCCGGAAAAGCTGGGAGGCGAGTGACTGCGGCCCACGCAGATCCCTCCCACGCCACCGCCGCCGCCGCCTCGTTGCTCGTGGCGGGAGGGCGAGGAGCTGACGGAGCGCTGCAGGGAGGGGGAACTGCGTGGGAAAGCACCGGAGCTGCGGTGGTGGTGGTGGTGCGGCGAGCTCGTCAGGCTGCAGGCGCCCAGCTTGGAGCCCCTGTGCTGAGCTGAGGACTGGTGGTGGAGGGGGGAGCCACGGGAGCCATGCATCAACTGGGCAAGGCATGAAAGGAGGTCTGAGTCACTGGTGCTGCCAGTTCGGATGCGGTAACGCCTGAGTCTAAATGAGAGCATTTAGAAAAAACAACAACAACATTGTTTAATGTTTACTGTATTAAACTGAAGGACTCAAGTGAGTTCAGTCATCTAATGTACATACTTATATTCACACGCCATGAACTTTTCCACATTTTGTCCCTTTAGTTCAACAAGAAATATACATAGCAAGTGTATACACACACATATACATACACACATACATATA